TCATGGCTTGCAGCACTGCCGGCAGCTCCGATCCTCACCGAAGCTGTCCGAGTTCATGCAGAGGAGCCCTTTGCCAACTATAATGGGCTCCCCTACAAAGGTATGTCAAGGAGTCTGCTTTTGGGTTTCTCACAGCTCGATCTTTTGGGTTATGTGGGGGTGACCTGCTGCATGATCAGATAACTCTGACCTGGATTTATCACCGCTCGTTTGCTGTTCTTCACGGGCTGTTCGGTGATCTGCGTGAAATGGGGTGGTGTCCTAGTTCTTAGTGGACAGATCTCACTTGGCAGCAGAGTTCACCATCTGAGCAGAGCCCAGGGTTTTAAACAGGCAATGAAAAAGAGCTGCCCAGATTAGGCAGAAGCGCATTAGTGGGCTGGTTTGCACGCAGCAACTCAGCTTGTGACGCCGGTGTGTGTCCGGGAGGAATCCCCGGCAGCGACGGCAGACGGTTAAGCAGGTGACAGCCCTGCTTCTCATGCGAAGCTGGCACTGTGACAGCGTTTTCTCTGCTTATGTTAGGCTGCTACAAATTTTCAGCGAAGTTCGTTGTCCTTTTATTTTAGTCTTTCTGGGACTAGGGGCAAGTAACTGTGTGGGGTGGGATCTTTATTTCAGGCAGGTTATTATGCATATGACTTAATTTTGATAAACAAGTCAGAGGGTGAGGGGAAACTTCCTCTTTTGTTTTAAAGACAGATCTCTGTTTTTTCTGTTGTTCTTAGGCTGTGTCCCCATTTGAGTTTCCAAAAACCCCAAGTTCCCAGAATCTCCTCACCCTCTTGGCCCATCAGGGGGTCATGGTGACTCCGACACGGAACAAGACCTTGCCAGATCTGAAGGAGATGGGTCATTTCCACTGCCAGCAAACTGGCTTAGGATTGAGGCCTGTGGAAGAGATCAAGGGCAGGTGAGCTATAGTCTGCTTTGTACAGGTGATCATAGAACCATAGAACGGCATAGGCTGGAAGGGACCTCAGAGATCATCTAATCCAACCTCCCTGTCATGGGCAGGGACGCCTCTCAAGTAGGTCAGGCTACTCAAGGCTCTGTCCAACTTGGCCTTGAACACCTCCAGTGAGGGGACATCCACAGCTTCTCTGGGCAATTTATTCCAAAGTCTTACCACCCTCATACTAAAGAATTTTTTCCCAAGATCTAATCTAAATCTGTTCTCCTTTGACTTAAACCCATTTCCCCTTGTCCTATCAGTGGACACTCTTGTAAAAAGTCCCTCCCCAGCCTTCCTGTAGGTTTCCTTCAGGTATTGGAAGGCAGCTATTAGGTCCCCCTGAAGTCTTCTCTTTTCAAGGCTAGACAGTCCCAGCTCCCGCAACCTGTCCTCGTAGCAGAGGTGCTCCAGCCTCTGGATCATCTTTGTGGCCCTCCTCTGAAAATACTCTGACAGATCTATGTCTCTCTTATGGTGATGCTTCATTCCCTAATACAGGATGGATGGGGCAAATTTCAAACCTCAACTAACATCTAAGTTGTAATGTAGCATCTGCAAACTGCTAACAGAATACAAAGTCACTCAGGTGTTAGTGTTAAGTTTTTTTTCTCTGCCTCTCTGCAGATTGCAGCTTTCTCCTGTGATCTGGAGGAGTCCTCTGATACTAATTTCTGTATCTTCCATCACAGAAAAACCGTGTTACAATAATGCTGTACTCAATACTTGCATTACTGCAGTTAGTCATGGTAGTTGTATGCTTTCTGAAAGTAGCAGGAGATACTTCAGGTGCTCTGTTGAAAGAGGAAAAGAGCCAGTGGTTATTTCAGGTCCAGACTGTTTGCTGTGTATTGTTAAGTGGTTGTGGACCAGGGTTGGCACAAACTGGAGTGGAAGTTAGCTGAAACCTTGCGTCTGGTGACTTTCTGCATCATGTCGTATGTCCTCTTTTTAGATCTCTGAGCACAGGCAGGCTCACTGACCTGCTTCTGAAGGCAGCCTTTGGGGCACAGATCTCGGAAGCTGGCAGCAACGACAGCCTGAACAATGAGAAGCCAATGGAAATTGCAGGTAGGTGGGAAGGCCAGGCAGATCTGGCAGGATGTCGTGGTTTGGGCTGGGGTGAACAGTTTGCGTGCGTGCCTCCTAATATATGGGAGGCTGCTTTTCTGATGGCTTTTGGCAAAGGAAGCGACTGCAGTGTGTGAGGAGTGTAATGATGTTTGCTTTCTTTTGTGGAGCGCTCGAAGGTCTGTGGACTACGTGTGCTGTGTAATTGCTGGCTACTGGTGTGATTTTTGTAGGCAGGGCTTCCTCTTTTGGCCCCTTCTGAATGTGATAACTTGTGGAAGTGGGGACTTTTTGCCAGGCGGTTCGGATATGAGTGGCTCTGCAAGGGTGGGTCTTCCTGGGCTTGCAGCTTGGGAAGCGAGGAGGGGAGAACAGCTGCAGCAATGCGTAACGCTGCCCAGGCTCGTGTCCTGTAGTCCAGCCTGGCCCGGTCGTGTTCTCGGAGGATGCCTCCAAAGGGGGAGCGCTGGTCTGTGCTGGTAACCAGTGTCTCCCAAGAGAGTCTGCAGGAACATAGAACTGCTGGGTGAGGCACACCATGCTCTGAGTAACTTTCCTGTAATGCCAGTCTGCACCTTTCAACTGTCTCCCCAGCTCCCTCAGGTGCTTACGGAGGGACCCTGCACTCTGGTGCCCGGGCTGGGGGCTCTGCCAGCCCATCCCCAGTGATTTTTACTGTCGGATCCCCTCCCAGTGGAACAACCCCCCCACAGACCACGAGGACCAGGATGTTTTCAGGTAAAGGGCTGATACCTACCTGCCTGTTCCAGTGGGAATGCCTGGGGGCAGAGCAATTGAATTCCTTGCTGCTGAACACTGGTGGTGGCAGAGGGCTGCTCAGAGCACAGTCCGTACATAGAGCTCAGCTGGTCTAAATGCCTTTGAGGTTCTTGTGCTGGCTCCAGCCCCAGTTATTGCTCATACTGGCGTAAGGACTAGTGCCATATAGTGGTTTTCCCATACTGGAAGAGAGGGGCAAGCTATTCTTTTACTTCATTTCTCTCTGCTTCAGGAATAACGCTGCAGCTGTTCACAGACCCACTGTTGCCAATAGGTCAACAAACATAAAGATTGTGTTGTGTTCTGGTGGTTTTCCCTGTGGGTTTTGGAGGAGCTATGAAAGGCGAGTGTGACCACCTGTGTCTAACAATTTCAGTGCACGAGTACCGCTAGGAAGGGGCCGGGATGGCTCTGTATGTAAAATTATTAGTGGTGTTACTTATGCTCTGAGCTGCTTAAGTAGGAAATGGGGAAATGCACTCCTGCTTGGCAGATACTTCTTCTAAGACACTGGTGCTCTGGCCTCATCAGCCAGCAGTTGAGGCTGTGGTAATTGGCCCTTTTGGGATAGTGTGTCTGGGAGCCGGAGTCTATGTTCAGTTTAAGAAAATATTTGGACACTTTTATTTGCATTTTTGGCTTGTTGGGTTTTAGTCTTGGCTGTTCCTCATCTGAATGTAGTCGAGTCTGTTGTTCTTAATTACTGCAGGGAAAGTTTGGATGTAACCATGAATAAGCTGCTTGACTGGGATGGGGGGGACACATGGGCTCTGTTCCTGGGTATGGCTTGGCTTTCCATCATAACTAAAACCACTCACATCCTTGATTGTCTGGAAAGTTGGGACCATAATCCTGTCTTTGTCTCATCTATTTAGAGAGTAAGCTCTGCAGGGCAGAGACTCTTACAAAGTGTCTGACGGGCCTGTAGCACAATGGGGTTACTATTCTGGCTACAGCCTCTAGCTACGACTGAAATGTTACAAATCGAGAATTCAGACTTCCTGTATTGTTTTTGTGGGGATAATAGCAATTTGAAAGCAGATCCAAGCACCAGTTTTTAACAGGTTGATATTTGGATGCTTAAGGGTTTGCCAAACAGTCAAGATCTCAGATGGGATGCCTGGAAGAGAAGGCTGTTGAACCTACAACACATACACAGTGTTGGGTGAAGGCGGTCAAAGCAATGCTGCTTGACAGGCTTTGTTCATTAGCTCTGTGCACTAGCTCCTTATGTTATAGTCAGTGCACAAAGTGAGTGGTGGAAAGGGGAGTGTCACAAGCTGGAACTGCACCCCAAGTGCTTGGACAAGCCCTGCGTAAGATCACCTGACAGATACGAAGGAAGAGGCTTTTCATGAGTCGTCATAACAATTTCTGCAAACAGCCTCTTGGAATTACAGGGTATCCAGAACATGATACTGTTGGTCCTTTCCTCTCTTTGAAAGATCTGGGAATACTCTGCCAGTCTTTGATGATCCACTTAGCTTTGAAGCATAGCTGCCAACAGGGAGGGAGCTTTGGGAGGATGGAAGACTGTGCCTCTCTGCAGATCAGTTGTGCTTTATATTGCTGAACCTTTTGAAGGCAGAGTAGGGCAGCAAATTAAATCCGTGGCTAGAAGAGAAACATCTCCCTCCAAAGGATCAGTGACAGTGGAGAATATTGCCTTGGTAGAATTAGCAGAATATTGTAGCTGGTATTGGCACTTCCTACATCAGACAGAATGTATCCCTCTGTGGCAGTGTGTCAGGGGGTATGAAGCCCTCTGGAAGCGGTGAAGGTATTACGAATACTCTGAGACAGAGGCTCCTTTTGAAGTGTCCATCTTTTATGTGAATGTGCTCTTAGGGTGGATTCAGTGGTCAAGAAGGGGAAAAGGTGAGGGAATTGTCTGATGGACACCATAATTACAGGGTCCCTGAATCCTGAGGTTAGGGTCTTGACTCAGCTGAAGTCACTTACTCTCTGCCCAGCCTCCTGTCTGTAAAGAGAGGGAAACAGAAGTGCAGGGCATGTAATGGAAAGCTCTCCTGGTTTGCATGTAAGTGGTTGATGTTTTGAAAACATGATAAAAACCTCACTTATCAGAAGTGCTGATTCAGTGATAGTGTAAAGAAACAGGGTTCAAACCATGCTGATCCATGACGGGAAAGTTGGCTATAGCGGTGTATGATAAAAATCAGCCCAACACACTGTGGCAGGATTCAGAAAGGGTTTGGACAAAAAAAGAAAAAAAAGAGTGCTTCTGAATTGTCTGCATAAATGACAGACATTCTGGAAGGTGCATTAAATCTGCTTGAGCTTCTAAGCTGGTCTACCTGAGTCGCTAAAGAGCTTATGTTGGGGAGTGGTTATTCTGCATCAAGAGTCCTTGCATCTTCCTCCAAAGTACCTGTTACTGGCTCCTATCAGTTCCAGGATCCTACAGGATTGTCCCCGCTGTTGGGCAAGGAATACCTGGCCTAATATTAGTATCTTCAGTAATTCCTTTGCATGTTTTTCTTCTCAGTGGGGTCTTCCAGCTCTCTCAGTTCTGGAGGCTCATTCACCGGCAGGCACTTGGCAGTGGGAACTGGTGGGGATGCTGTGGAAGGCCCCTCGAGTCTCCGGTACGCTTTTGCTGATCCCATCACCGCCAACCTGGAAGGTGCTGTTACATTTGAGGCACCAGAGTTGCCCGAAGAGACGCTCATGGAGGTGGGTATATCCCAGGGACTTGTTAGAGGCAAAGAACAGGGGAAAGTAAAAGGAAAACAAATCCAGAGATCAGATGACTCCATGTTTGCAGCCAAGGGAGTTGCTTCCAAAGATGGTGCAAACTGGCTTCAGGAGAGCGAGGCCAGTGCAGTGCTCGGGAAGCCCAGGGCATATTGAACACAGTGGCCTTGAGCCTGCTACCGAGCCGTTCAGCCCATGAGCCAGCCCGTGACCGAGGTTAAAATTCAGCATTTCCAAAGCTGAAATTGCAGGTTAGAAACATCAGTCGTCTGATGCATTCTGTGTTAACAGCTTCTGAAGAAGACCTGGGTACTTTGGGCCTTTTCCCTTTTAAAAGGCTCAACATTAGTGAGAGGTGACTTGAGAGCGAGTAGCTCAGTGTGCCGCACCAGTGCCTGCTGCGTGCGCTTGGGGAGTCGGGCAGTGATTCGGTCTCTGCTGAAAGGATCTGGAAAAAACTAAACCTGACACTCGTGCTGCTGATGGAGGTGGGGGGACACCACGTTCTGCACCAGAACAGCTGAACCAGATTGTGGAGCTGAGAGGCTGCCAGGCTCTCCCCTTCTCTGCAGGCGGAGGAGAGGCTGAAGCAGAGCAAATGCTTTTGTAGCTGAGATATATTTGAAATGTAGGTCAGGCTGCCTGCTTGCAGTAGAGGTGGGAGGCAGATTCAGTCATGGTTTCAGCTCTGTTCGTGATACCTCCTTGGGCTGTCGGGGACTGGGGAAGGCTCTTCGTATCTGAGTTTTGCTGGTGTTGCTGAAAACCCCTAGATACCCACAGAGATATGCATACATTGTTTTAAGGATGTGGGTTTGCTCTTCTACTTCAGATTTTGTTTAGCTCAAGTTTTTTGTCAATTATGTGCTGAATTGCATTCATTTGCTTAATTACCTGCAGAGCCACAGGGCCAGGACTTTCAGCATTGATGTGCTCACAATAGTAATGAGTTTAACTGAGCATCCTTAACCTCTCTGAGGTCCCAGAAGTGTGGGGCTCTGCCAGCTGCCACCACTTTGGACATTGGTCTGAAGAGAAGTGTCCTAAGGAAGTATTGAGCTTCTTATATCTGTAATGAGTCATTTGGGTTTGGTCATCGTATCTGCTGAGTGCAGTAATCCATTTGCACGTCACAAAGCCTTCCTGGCACCAAACCTTTACAGCATATTTCAAGACACCTTTGAGCTCTGTGGAGTTGGCCAGAATGCAAACCTGGCAGGTTTTCTGATTTCTGCAGATATTTCAGGGCGTTGAAAACTTGCTATTTAAGCACCCTGATTTATCTTGAGCAGAGCTGTTACATTCAGAGAGGTGGTTCTTCCATCTTTTGAAAAAGTTTCTCTCGGTGCAGACAATGCAAACTGAAGGCTGGGTTTTAGTTTGTTTTGCATTGCTTTAAAAACACAGGTACAGAGATGGGCATGGAAGGAAGGACTCTTGTAATGCCAAATGAGGCCATGAATACCAGCATAATTAATGGAAGCCGACTGTATAAGCAGAGAGGAAGGACTGTGTGTTGGTTAGAGATACCAGGCTGAGACCTGCAAGATCTCAGCAGTTTCCTGCTCTGCCACAAACTTCTTGTATGACTTGGTAATTACTTAATCTCCAAGTTCCTCCTCTGCTTTTAAAGAAAATAGAGGAAGATGGAGATAGCACTTCCTTACCATACTGGACTGTCCAGGTAGCAAGACAGTGGGAGGAGAGATTCATATTTCAGATAGTCAAAGCTGCCTTAGCAGCCAAGTGCCTGAACCAGTGAATGAAAAACAAAAGCTTGCAGAACTTGAGCATGGGGTTTTTTAAATTCATGTAGGAAACATCCTTACCAGCCCCCTTTGAGAGAAGCGAGCCACTGAATATTTGAAGATCAAGCAGGTTAGCCACTTCTGTACAGAGACAGTACCAACAGTGGAGTTGCATCTGATCCAGACAGCAATTCATTTTGTAGACCCACAAGCATTCAGTTTTCCGCAAATACTAACTTCTGAAAAATGCTTACAGTGACTTAAGCAACGCAGCTTCCCAGAAATGGGATAATCCTCTTTGATCTGTAATAACAGAGGAAAAACTACTTTGAAACAAACGCAGCACTTAGTGTGAGAGGCTCTCTTCTCTCACTAGCTGAACAGGAGTTGCAGATGAAAGGTGGTCCTTGCTGTCTTCTCAGAGGACCTCACCCAGGGCTCACTGCACTGAACTGGGAGGGTACGAAGACCAAGGGCGAAGTGAGGGATGGGCTGCAGAGTGGGACATGTTGTGTTTGCTGTTTTCTGTGGCATAAGAGGTTGTCACTCTCATGAAATCCACACCCGCTTTCAGTGTTGTACCACCATTGCTGTGGTGGGGACCAGAGCTGGACCTGTGGTCCAGATGGTCTCTCCCCCTTCCAGGCTGACTTCTGAAAAAGTCCCACAGAGCTGGGATCCTCCTTGGGAAGGGGGCTTGGAATTTTGGAGCAAGTCTCAGCAGCTTCTCCAGGAAGCTGCCTGTAAATTTCTGGTGTGGGTCTGTTGCTTGCTGCTGTTACTGTGGAGGAGGAACTGATGCTGTGTGAGGGCTTGAGGCTGGGTTTGGCTGTACCTGCCCCAAAGCAGAGGCGTAGGGGAGCTTGGGGCTCAGGCGTCACTTCTGTAAGCTGGGATGAGTTGCTGGCATGGCTCTTGGTGGGCAGCCCTCCCTGGCATGCCAGCTTTCCCTCTAACCCCCACCTTGGCATCCCTTCAACAGCAAGAGCACACTGACATCCTGCGCAGCCTCCGCTTCACACTGGCCTTTGTCCACTACGTGATGGAAATTGCTGCCCTTAAAGGCAGCTCCAGCGAGATGAGCAGTTCGGTGACATCTGAGTACCAGCTCCAGGAGAGTGTGGTGGCCGACCAGATCAGCCTCCTCAGCCGAGAGTGGAGGTAAGGACTGACTCAGCTCCCTAGTCTTCCGTCGCTCCCTCCCACCCCACGTATCCTTACGTACCAGAAGTCCTTTGGGACGACTTAGCACTGTCCCATCGATGTATTTGCATTGTAATGTGCTTTCTTTGCAGCTATGCAGAGCAGCTCGTGCTGTATCTGAAAGTAGCAGAGCTTCTGTCCTCGGGGCTGCAGATGGCCATAGAGCAGATCAAAGCGGGCAAGCTGTGCCTCTCCTCCACTGTCAAGCAAGGTAAGAGCCTGCTGGGCACACGCCTGGAAGGGAAGGATTAAAAGTATCTCAAAGGGTACGGAGAGGGTTGAGTGTGAACCCCCACCGGTATGCCCATAGGCTTATTTGTTGTCCCTTTGCACAGCTGGGTCTTGTTCCTCTTTTCACATTGACTTCAGGTCTCAAAATTCC